TTGGTGCTATTCTTGTAAGATCATGCAGTGGCATCTTCACTGTCTTGTTCCTGTAAGAGAGAGAGGAAATAAATAAATAAGTAGATAGATACATAAAAAAATAAAATACTCTCCACCACACACATCCCTGCTCGCAGGAAGAATTAATCAGCCCAGTACCATAAGCAAATCAATCTGAAACTGTCTATTTTCCTTTCTCCTTCCTCCCTGCAGGTATTTCTGACCTAGGAGAGGTGAAAGGAACTTGTGTGCTGATTTAAGGAAAGCCTCTAGCAGGAGTAGGGGGTTGTGGGGACCAGAGCTAAGATGTTACTTAAGGCGTCAAGTATCACATATCAGGATGCCTGGGTCTCAGTCTTGACTTTGCTTCCCATTCCAGCTTCCTGCTAACACAAGCCTTGGGAATCAGCCCGTGATGGCTCAGGTGACTGAACTCGTGCCACCTACATGAGACAGATATCACGATGGAATCTCGGGCTCCTGGCTACTGTAGGTATTTGAGGAGTGAACTAGCAGATGGTAGATCTGTCCACCTGTCTCTCTGCCCATCAAATGTTAAATTTTTTTTTTTTTAAAGAAAAGCACTTAACAAAAATAGAATTACTTTATTTTAGGGAGAAAAAACCCAGAGGGTACAAGTAAATGGGTCCTCCTTGTGGCATCACATTTCATTGGCCAGCAGGCTCTGCTAGCTCACGGGAGCTTCTGTAACCTTGTATCCAGGTCAGCATCCTGCTATATTTACGTACAGAAATAGCACTTATTAGCATTGTGAGTTAATCCCATAAATTACTTTCCTGAGGATGGCTTTGACTTTAAATTTCTTGACACTCAGGAGAACTAAGAACAGATTATTTCAGGAAAGAAAACTATTAAGAAACCATCACTGAGCAGCCATGAAGGGGAGGATATTTTTCCAGTTGGCTTATAAAGACCTTTTCATTGTGGAAAGCCTCATTAGGAAAAGTATTCCGAGATCAGGCGCGTTCAGGGTGGTCTGGCCATAGACAGTATTCCCAGAAAGATGGATGAAAAGTCTGTTGGAAGAGTGGTGTTACTTAGTGTGATGTAAAAAATAGGTTTGTAATTTTCTAAATTGTGTCGACTAAAAGAAGTGCTTAATTTTTAAAAAGACATAAGCCTCAGAGCATATCCAGAATGTTCTCAACATCTGGCAAGTACTGATTTGAAAGTGAATGGGCCAGGGGCCTCAGGGACCCTAGACAGGCTGCACCCACAGTGCATCACTGAGGTTGGCTAGGGACTTGAGGATGGAGTCCTGTGGTCAGGGGCATCGATGGCCTACACCAGACCAGGTATCTGATGTGTCCTGAGCAGACTGTAGCAGCCACCTGACATTGTGCTGGCCTAGGAAAAGTAGGGTAGGGATCTAATGGGGTCTAGGTAGATCTAACAGTGTTAGTCTAGGAGCCCGTGAGAAGGGTCCTGGGAGTGACCCTCACTTATGGGCTTTAGTATGGCCAAGAAACCCAGGCTTTCCTGCCCTGCTGGTCCCAGATACAGCAGGACCTGTGACCTCAGAGACCACAGACTGGAGTGTGCATACTGGAGTGTGCATACTGACATCAGTATACACAGTGAAAGGATCATGACCAGGTGTAAGTGAAGGGTGAATCTGCAAACCAGTTGAAATCCTCAGATACCACTTCAAGAAACAGGAAAGGGTCAGCAACTTTTCAGATTAGTGATAACAATGCAGGTGACACAGCCGTTGGCATCAGCTACACTTCTAGAGCTTGTGAAATGAATCCATTATGTGAGATAGGGAGAGGTTTCTAAACCTGGGACATATAAGGCCTTTATCCTTAATAAGCAGGAAGTGGCTACAAAAGACGAGATGAATCTACATCCTTCAGCAACCTGTAAGAATGAGATTGGAAATCTCATGAGGGAACGAGATAGGTCAGGCAGGCAACAGGCTTAGACTCATGAATTGGAAGCCATATCTGCCCTGTGTCCTACAGTCCGCCTACTTGTCAATCAAATGACTCCTTCCCCAAGATGTACTCCCCCTTTACCAAGGACTTGTGGGTAGTATTATAGAATCATACCCCTCCCCAGGCTCATGAGAAGCCAGGCAACAGGAAGGAGCGCCCTTTCTCTCCCCATGGACACAAGATGAATGTGGAAGCAACTGTCTCCCACCATTCCCTCTCTGCCCATTCTATCCCTAAATGTGTTTCTGTGATTTGCTCACCTTTTAAGTAAACTTGACAAAAAAAAAAAAAGAAAGAAAGAAAGAAAGAAAGAAAAGAAAAGAAAAGCTAGCAGTGTCATGAGCAAGAGAGATTCCGGATCCTAAGGAGAAGATACTTGCTGAACCCAGCAGCAGAAAGAACACTGGATCAGGAAAAGCCCCAAGGGAGCTTGGGCAAACCAAATGTGCCACGGCAGGCCCACCCCTTGTTGGTTGAGTAATCTTGGTATTACATCACTCTGTGCTCAATTTCCTCCTCTAAAAACTGAGGTTGTGCATGTGCATTTGGCCCAGTGGTTAATTTGCTGCTTGGAATACCTCAAGTGCATTGGTTCAAAATCTGGCTCTGCTTCTGACTTGGCTTCTTGCTAATGCACAAAGTAGGAAGGTAGAAAGTACTGGCTCAAATATTTGGGTCCCTGCCACCTAGATGGAAACCTAGATGGAGTTCTTGGCTCTTGGCTTTAGCCTGGGAGACACAAATGAAGTTCCTGGCTCCTGGCTTTGGACTAGTTAAGCTCCTTGAACCAGCAGATGGAAGATTCTCTCTGTCTCTGTCTGTCTGTCTGTCTCTCTCTCTCTCTCCTCACTCTATAACTCTGCCTTTCAAATAATAACAAATTTAAAACAATGAAAATTGGCAGACTCTGGGCCTGGCTGCGTGGCCTAGCAGCTAAAGTCCTCACCTTGAATGCGCCGGGATCCCATATGGGCACCGGTTCTAATCCTGGCAGCTCCACTTCCCATCCAGCTCCCTGCTTGTGGCCTGAGAAAGCAGTCGAGGATGGCCCAAAGCCTTGGGACTCTGCACCCATGTGGGAGATCCGGAAGAGGATCTGGGCTCCTGGCTTCAGAACAGCATAGCATTGGCCGTTGCGCTCATTTGGGGAGTGAATCATCGGATGGAAGATCTTCCTCTCTGTCTCTCCTCTCTGTATATCTGCCTTTCCAATAAATAAATAAATCTTAAAAAAAAAAAATTGGTAGACTCCCATAAGAGCAATTTGTTACCTGAGCAAGCACCTACATGTAAAGCACTTGTAATGCCTGACATATGATAAATGCTGTAGGATTTTTGCTTTTAGCTGTTATTATTTTAAAATAAAGGAAGGTGCAAAGTGGGGTATTGCAAAAGAGAAGAGAATGCTTCCTGTCATCACCCAAGGAGGCATTACGGTAAAACATAGGGATACTGGTGGGGGATGTCTTGGCACAAGTAAAAATATTTTGTCTGTGGGTAGCACAGCCTTTCCCAACTATGAAGTTATTGCAGTCTGTATGATTCTGCTCTTATCTCTTTCTTAAACAGTTTTTGTTTATTTTTTTAAAGATTTATTTATTTTTTATTACAAAGCCAGATACACAGAGAGGAGAGACAGAGAGGAAGATCTTCCGTCTGATGATTCACTCCCCAAGTGACCACAACGGCTGGTGCTGCGCCAATCCAAAGCCAGGATCCAGAAAATTCTTCCAGGTCTCCCATGCGTGTGCAGGGTCCCAAGGCCTTGGGCCATCCTTGACTGCTTTCCCAAGCCACAGACAGGGAGCTGGAAGGGAAGTGGAGCTTCCAGGATTAGAATCGGCGTCAATATGGTGTCCCGGCGGGTTCAAGGCGAAGACTTTAGCCTCTAGGCCACTGTGCCGGGCTCTAAACAATTTTAAAAAGATTTATTTTAGTTTGAAAGAGAAAGAAAGGGGGTGGAGAGAACAGAGAATCTTCTACTCCTGGTTTACTCCTCTGGTTTACTCCTCAAACGGCCTCAACAGCCAGAGTGGGCTGGTGTGAGGCTTGTAGCCAGGGAGGAGCTTCATTCATATCTCTATGTGGATGCGGGGACCCAAGGACTTGAATCATCTTCTGTTGCTTTCCCATGTTATTTTCACGGACCTGGATGAGAAGTGGAGCAGCCAGGACTAGAACTGACACCAGCACCAGTGAAGGATTAGCCTGGAGTGTAACTGTGCTGCTCCCTCGAATTACATCTCTACTTGCAGTTCCAATGCTTAGAAAGTGAGCAAAGGCATTTCCCCAGGGTCCGGAGGTTGACACACCTGCCAGAAGACAGTCTTGGGCCCTGATGCTTTAGAGCTATAGGGAGGAAAGAGTACAAAAGTTCAATCACCACACTCCGGCTAGAAATGTCTAGGCTCTGCCCAAGGCCTGCTGTGTATGTAAGTGGGTTTTTTGTGGCTACTGCTTCTGCTGGTTGTCTCCCAGTCACCTCAAATCAGTTCTTGATATTGTGATAGCTTCAGGATCCAGTTTCCTCACAAACTTCTCTTGGCCATTCTTTTGGGAGAAGGAACAAATTCTGGATCGTAAACCAAAGCAAATGCTGGATGAGGCCAAACGAGGGGGTCGGAGCGGAAGGAAGCTGAGGCAGATGAGCTGATCACACGGGCTGACCGCAGCTGGGGGCCCGCTAAAGAGGAAGCACAGCGATTCTAGGAGGAATCAAGGAGAACGCGGGTCTCTTTCCCACTCCACAAGTGCAGTGCCAGATGTGCTGGGCGGAACTGCTCTGAACACAGGGCTTGAATTAGCAAGCAACTCCAGGAGCTCCTCAAAAGAAAGCAATGTGGAGGAAGTTGTGGCAGGCAGAAGTTGAAATGTTCTCACTAGAAACTCACCAAGTAGGCTTTGGGCACTTCCGAAAATTCTCCTTGGCATACACAGTGGAAGATGAGGTCAAAAGAGGAACAAAATGCTTTCTGCTTTTTTTTTTGGCGGGGGGGGGGGTGCTTAAGAGCTTAGAAAATCATTTGGAAGTTTTGAAGCAGATTCTCAAGAGAGAAGATCCTTATCCGAGAGAGAATTGGGCTACAGAAAGATGAATGGAAGGGTCGTGTTCTAAGAGCTACTCACAGGTATGTTGTTTTCCCTGACCCTTAGCAGCAGTCCAGCAATATATAAGGAATTTTGGGGAAAGACTTTGATCTCCCAGAATGACACCAAGAGATAGATAGTATCAGTAGAGACTGAGGGATCAAGAAAATGATGGGTTTTTGTTTTTGTTTTTTTAAGATTCATCTTATGTATTTGAAAGGAAGAGGTAGAGAAAGAGAAAAAGACATCTCCCATTTGCTGGTTTACTCCACAAATGGCCACAACAACCAGTGTTGGGTAAAGCCAAAACCAAGATCCAGGAGCTTCCTCCGAGTGTCCCACACGGGTACAGGGGCTCAAGCACTTGGGCCGTCCTCTGTTGCTTTCCCAGGTGCATTAGCAGGGAGCTGGATGGGAAGTGGAGCAGCTGGGATAGGAACCAGTGCCCATGTAGATGCTGATATCGCAAGTGAAGTTTGACACAGCATGCCACAACGCTGACCTGGGACAAGATATCTTGTCATCTCAACCGCTAGGTTGAATGCCCACCCCATAGACTTCACTTGCCCTTTGATAAGTGCAGTGGTTCCTGACTGGATTTCGGCAGAGCTCACTGGTAGAGGTGCTGGACTACATCTGCTTAGAATTCTTCTCTCTCCTCCCCCAGAGATCTAAAAAAAGCAGCTGGCCTCTTCTGTAGAGATGTTGGAAGTAGGTATTCTGCAGAAACAGTGAAGGGGGTACAGTGGACCTCTGAGCCTTGCTTATCCCAAATACTCATCTCTAGCTCTTTCAGTTCTTTCATCATCCTGATTATTCTTGGTTTCATTAGACACACAGTGTATGAGCTGGGGCTAGGGACTGCTTTCGTTTTCATTTCTCTGTTTTAGAAGCAGGACAAGGGCTTATCTTTAAAGTATGAAGGAGGCAGGCAGAAATGAGAAAAGAACCAGAGAGGGTGCACTACCCACAGTTGCTAGGGTGTGTACAATATCATATATATATATATGATGCCAAGATGTATATGATAGCAAGGCTATTTCTATCACACAAGCACTTTTTGGAAGGGAGGAATTTGAACTCTTCATGGTATTTATATTGGTAGTGGTCTTCAGGGCAACGAATTATTTCATTCATGTGAATGTCCAATTCTGCACTAGTGAGATAAATGTGAGCTTCTATTTCCAGTTAAGCTAATCTGTCACTTCACGCCTCTTAGCTCCCTGTCTCTCTGTTCTCTTTCTCTCTGTATATCTGCCTTTCCAATAAAGATGAATAAATCTTTAAAAATATCTTGGAAAGAAAAACAAAAAGAAATGGAGAAAAATTCATACAAGGGACTCTGATATGGGATGTTGGTGCCCCAAACACCCGGCTCCAGAACAAAGTATTTTACTTTCTTTATCTTTTTTTTTTTTTTTAAAGATTTATTTGTTTTTATTGGAAAGGCAAATGTACAGAGAGGAAGATCTTCTGCCCAATGATTCACTCCCCAAATGGCCACAACAGCCGGTGCTGCACCAATCTAAAGCCAGGAGCCTCTTCCGGGTCTCCCACGCGGGTGCAGGTTCCCAAAGCTTTGGGCCGTCCTCAACTGCTTTCCCAGGCCACAGGCAGGGAGCTGGATGGGAAGTGGAGCTGCCAGGACTAGAACCGGCGCTCTTATGGGATCCTGGTGCGTGCAAGGCGAGGACCTTACCCGCTATGGTATCGCACCGGGCCCAAGTGTTTCACTTTCATTGAAACAACTGGGAAATATTCACAGTGAGAGAGAAACTTATACCACACATCTTCTCTGTTCTTTGTAGCAAAGACAAGATGGAAATGCCATTCCGTTCAAATGTAAGCTCACATGCAAAGGGATTTTTTTCTTACAGTAATTCTGAGGCCTGGGATTACCAAGATGGGCTCGGAGAACCTCTTGCCTGCTCAGCGGCTCTGGCTTGTTTTAGCTGGGCTTTCCCTGCTGCCTCTGATGGAGCCATATGGATTCAGAAAATGCACGCAGTACGCATTTGACATCCACCACGTGTTCTGCATCCGGAAGAAGATCACCAATTTGACAGATGCCATTAGTGACATCCCGGGATATACCACTCACCTCAACCTCACGCACAACTCTGTTCAGGTCCTTCCTCCCCACAGCTTCGCGAATTTGCCTGCCCTGGTGGACTTGAGACTGGAGTGGAATTCCATTTCGAAGATTGGTGAGAGGGCTTTCTGGGGACTTAGCAACCTGACCCTCTTGAATTTAATAGAAAATAAGATTCGAAGTGTGATGGATGTGTTTCAGGGCCTGTCCAATTTGGAAACCTTGCTCCTGAGTAATAATAAAATTTCCCATATTCACATCAACGCCTTCATCCCTCTGGTCAAACTGAGACATTTGAGCCTCTCTCAAAACTTTATTACTAATTTTTCTAATATCCTTGATGCAGTCCAGCATCTTCCACGCCTGGAGTATCTTGATCTTACTAACAACAGCATCATCTTCTTGGACCAAAGCCCCAGGACACTGCTTTCCTTGACCCATCTGAGCCTGCAGAAGAACAAACTAAGCGAGTTAGATTTCTCTGCTTTGTCTTTGCCAAATCTGACCACTCTGGATGTTTCCCAGAATGGGCAAAAGGCCATTCAGAATGTGTATGTAGAGACTCTGCCCCAGTTGAGCAGCCTGAATCTCAGCGGAACGGTGGTGACGTTGGACACGATACTGCCCAAACATCTACAGAATCTAAGGGCAGTGGACCTCAGCAACTGGGAGCCTAAGCATGCTCACTTGAACTTGAGCAGAATGTGTTGGCTCTTCAGAAACTTACCGTTACTGGAGGCTTTGGTTTTTCAGAAAAGCACCATTGATGCGGAGGGGGTGAGGCACCTTGCCAACTGCACCAGGCTTCTTTCTCTCGACCTGAGCCTGAGCACACATCTGGTGCAGCTCAGTGGCAGTGAATTCGTGGCTATGCCCAGCCTCCAGGAGCTGAATGTCAAGATGTCCCAACTCACCTTGGTCAGGAACAGCACCTGGAGCTCCCTCCAGAACTTGACATTCCTAGACCTGAGCCACAATACATTCACATGGCTTCCGGATTTTGCATTTTCTCCCTTGAAGAGCCTACAGCATCTCTCTCTTTCTCAAAATCCCATCACAGAAATCAATAATATGACTTTCAAGGGGCTGTATTCACTGAAGGAGCTCAACTTGGCTTATTGCTGGATTGTGACTATCAACAGACACTCCTTCACCCAACTCCCGAACCTGGAGAGCCTAGATCTTGGAGGCAACAACATCCGCACCCTGAAATGCAGAACCTTTAACCCCCTGAAGAAGCTCCGCATTCTGATTCTCTCTCAGAACCGCCTGCAGATCATAGAGAAGCAAGCCTTCTACGGCCTCACTGACCTTTCTCACCTTGATCTGACATACAACAGCTTGTTGGGTTTGGCGACAGACTTCCTCTCGGCACTGGAAAGACTGGAAATTTTGAATCTCAGTTTTAATAGAATCACATATGAAAGTACCAAAACCTTGACATTTCCTCCATTTAGGAAGCTCAAGTATTTGAAACATCTCAATTTAGAAGGACAGGTGCATGGGATTCAGGTTGTGCCAGTGAACTTTTTCCAAGGGCTGGATGCCTTGCAGGAGTTGCTCCTGGGCAAAAACCCCCTGGTATTCCTCGACCATCTCCAGCTCGATCCCCTGAGGAATCTCACCAAGTTAGACATCTCAGGAACACAAGCTGGAGACAGAAGCCTCTATTTAAATACATCCTTGTTCAAAAAACTCAAAAAATTAAAAGTACTGCACCTTGAAAACAACAACCTAGAGTCACTGACGCCTGGAATGTTCTCTGGCTTGGAAAGTCTTCAGGTCTTCTCTTTAAGATTCAACAGCTTGAACGTCATTAATCAAAGCCACCTGGAAAACTTGAAGTCTCTGATGTACTTTGATCTCTATGGGAACAAGCTGCAGTGCAACTGTGACAATCTGTGGTTCAAGAACTGGTCCACCACCACAGCCACCGTCCATATCCCCTACCTCCGGAGCTACCCTTGTCAGCAGCCAAATTCTCAGAGTTTGCTCGTTGATTTTGATGACGCTTTGTGTAATTTCGACCTGGGAAAGATCTACTTCATCTGTTCCTTCAGTCTAGTGCTTACAACCATGGTCTTTTCCTGGCTCAGCGCCAAGATCACTTCATCACTGTGGTATGGGCTGTACATATTTAGAGCCTGGTACGTAGCCAAGTGGCACAGGAATGCAAAGGAGTTTGTCTATGATGCCTTTGTCTCTTTCTCTGCCACTGATGAGCAGTGGGTATATGAAGAGCTTGTTCCAGCTCTAGAAGAAAGTGGCCAGCCTACCTTTAAGCTCTGTCTCCATCACCGGGACTTTGAACCAGGGATGGACATCTTTGGCAATATCCAGAATGCCATCAACACCAGCCGGAAAACACTGTGTGTGGTCAGTAGCCACTACTTGCGCAGCGAATGGTGTCGGCTTGAAGTACAGCTGGCCAGCATCAAGATGTTCTACGAGCACATGGATGTTATTATCTTGATCTTCCTAGAAGAGATTCCCAACTATAAGTTGTCCAGCTACCACCGACTCCGGAAACTCGTGAGCAGACAGACGTTCATCACTTGGCCAGACAACGCCCACGAAAGGCCACTCTTTTGGGCTCGCATTAGAAATGCATTGGGCAACAGAACAGTGGAGCGAGACAATGCGCAGCTCCTCGTGGCCGAGTAACCAGGAGCCTTGGGGCCTCAGATCCGGCTGCCTAATGTTTCCCAAGGTCGGGGGGGAGGGGGCTGAGTGTGACTAAAGGCACTGCTCTGCAGGGAGAAGGGCATGGGTTACTCCAGATCCTAACACCGGGCATGATTTGCATCATATCTCATTAGGCAACTGAAAGAATGAAGGACGCTGCTTGAGGGAGCTTCAGCAATAGGATTTGACTCTTGGAGAATCAGATATCTGGAAGGCACACCTTTATATGCAGAAGGAGGGCTTGGGTCAGCAGTCCTCTGAAATTCTGGGCACCAGGGGGACCCTCATATGTGTTTGAGAACATTGATCAGCTAGTTTATTCAAAACAGTTCCTGCAAAGATAAATTGAATGGTAATTCTTGTAAGAACATGTCCCAATAGAAACGCCACCTATTGGGGCTTCATGAAGGCCAAGACAGGATTGCATTGTACTCTCTGGTAGGAAATATAGGACTCCGAAGGCTTTTTTTTCTGTTAAGTCAGAGTGCAAGAGCTTGGAGGGTCTGAATTTGGGTCCGTCCGTTTCCCTATTGGGAAGCAACCTCGAGGGGCAAGCAAGGCTTCGTGACTCTACATCGGATTGCACGGCAGAAATAAGTGCCACCAGCAGCTTTTGCTGATTGTGTTTGCAGCAAGCCTTTTGTCTCTTTGTCCTGCCTTCTTCCGCTGGGTTCCTGCTTACCCGTAAGGTTCTGGGAAGCGTTTGTGAACAACAGATCCTGAAAGGAAGAGTATTTGCCAAGCAGGGGTGGCCAGGTGCTGGAGAGCCTTCTCAGCACCGCAGAGGAACCCCCTCCCCTCCCACATCGCCAGGGCCCCAGGCAAAAGGTGCGCGATTCAGATAGAACTCCATTTTGTTGGTGATCAAAACTGACAGGCATTTATGTGAGAAGCTATGATTCATCCACTGGGTGTTTGTGGGCTAAATGATTGGCAGCTACTACATGACACACACAAGAAATAGCACATGACTCAAATAGCACATGACTCATTGTGTTTAAATGAAATAATCGGATTTTGAGGTCCTGTTCGCCTAGCCTGGTGGAAAATGAAATAGCACTCATTCCTTACCCTTACCTCCTGGCCTCTGGCTTGTTCTTAACATTAAACAAAAACAAAACCCCAAACCTTACAAACCTCCTGCGAGGGGGGACGGGGTGCAATTCCTGCAGCCTTCTGTCTGTGTGGCTTAGCACTTCAGGCCCACTGTCCCGGCTGAGGGCACTCCGAGGACACTGCTGCTTCTGGGAAATGCTTGGCCCTGGACTGTTGCTGAAATTGGATACAGCCATTCCTCTCCGAAGAGCCTGCCACTTCCCTCAGGACGGGGTGGGTCTTGGCTGCCCTGGGCTGAAGGCAACTGCAAACCTCCCTTCTTTCTTGGGTCCTCTTCCCCTCTTCAGCTGCTTCAGCCACTGCCCTCCCCGCCCCCTGCCCCCAGGCACCATTTCCTGCACACCTGGTGTGAACTCAATGGCTGAGACTGGAAGAAAGGCTTTATTCAAACAGCCCCAGCAGGCCTAAGGGCCCCCTGCCTTCACACGGGGGGGGGGGGTCTTTTTCTTTCACAACAAGGGAAAGTGAAACCTAAACGGACATTGACATATGCCTTGTTTAATTATAAGCCAGTTTGGACTATCCTAAAATCTGCCAAGTTCAGTAAAAAATATGCTTCGATACAATAAACTGCTAAATACAAAAATGAAAACAAAACAAAACAAACACATAAACAGAGAGCTAAGGAACACCACCTATACCTTTATAGTGTGACTAACCGCAGAAAGGTCGGCTAACGTGCCAACGAACCGGTGGCAACCTAGGACTTCTGGAACGGCGCGTGGTGTGAGGGGAGGGTCCCAGGAGCAGCTTGCGGCTGGAGCCCAGTAGCAAAGCGCATGCGTCTAGTCTTTCTTGGCCGGAAAGAGCAATCATTAATTACTTTGAACTGGTTTGCTTTTGGAAATAAAGAGGCAGTCATGCGGGAACAAAGACTACATTTTATGCGCACGTTCTAGGAAACACGTGCATTCCTGTGAGTTCTCAGGCCTGGCAACACCGATCACCTCGCTCTGTATGGAGTGCAAACGTGGGGCTGCCTTTCCCAGGGTTCTGTGTATAAGGATTTATTCCAATATCCCACCCTGGACCCTGCGCCATTTCTTCTTCCTCACTGTTCACGGGATTCGCGCCAGTGCAGCCATCCACCAATCGGATGTAACCTGGCATTCCACCTGAGAATCCCACCCCCAATCTCCCAGCCCCTTCCCCAAACCCGCCCACTTGCCAATCATCCCCAGGCATTCACCTGCAGGCACCAATCCCCTGGGGCCTTGCCCTCAATCCCTCCCAAACCCCGCCCCTCCCACACCTGGCAGACAAAAAAGGCCCCCAGGTGCGGTTCGCCCCTTTTTTGCTCTCTCTCTTCCTCTCCTTGGTTCCTCTCCCCTGCTCTTCCTCCCTTCCCTCCCCTTCCCCTGTTCCTGCCCCACTCGGTTCTCTCTCTCTTGCTCTCTCTTGCTCTCTCTCTTGCTCTTGCTCTCTCCTTGGTTCCTCTCCCCTGCTCTCCCTCTCCTCCTTCTTACCTCCCTTCCCCCTCCTTCCCCTTCCCCTATTCCTGCCTCGCTGGAATAAACTTCCTAAGATATGTCGTTGCGTCTGGTGTTTTCAGCTCACGGTAAAGAACCAGGTTGCGAGAATTAGCTGCGCGTAAAGTATCTTAATATCGTATAACCTAAAACTAGAACTCTTACATTCTTTTAAATAACTAACATTTGGTGCCGTGACCGGTCGGTTTCCCCCGGCACTTGGCCACGTGGCCTTCGGGCCTTTGGCCACTACCGGGACCCGAACCGTGAGAACTGTGATCTGTGTTAACTGTCTTCATCTGCGCCGAGACTCCTCAGCAGCCATCAGAATCCGTCTCCATCTGCCCGCTGGTTCGTGAATTCATCTCCAACGGCCTGTTCCTGATTTCGCCTGCCGGTTCCAGAATTCTCTACCTCCATGTGGCCGTTCCTGAGTTCATCTAACTGACCGTGCTGGCATCTGCATCCATCCAGCAGCACCATTGCCCAGACGCGTGCTCCCCGGTACTCCATCTCCACATGGAGCACACGAGGTATTCCTCATCTTTCCGAATGCTAAGTTGTTGCATGCATACACTGTTGTAGATAGGGTTCCCTCCCCCAGCCCTTGGAGTTTTGGGTTTGGCTTGGCATATTTGCGCTCCTCTGAATAGGTCTGATTTTCCACTTCTGGGAGTTTTTGGGAGACCGGTTCTGTAAACCCCGGCTGAGTGCTGTGTCTCTTAGCCACTGGGCGGAAGTCCCCCGACCACTGGGTCACTCTGGGGGCCCCCCTGTACCTCCGAGTCGGGCCACTGGGCTGTTAACGACTTCGGATACAGGCGGTGTTTTGGGACCTGGCTCGTCCCTTACGTAGGGGGTGACGACCTTCTACGAGAGCCGTCTTTTCCTGACCACTGGGTCGTTTTTACGGACCACTGGGTCCACCTTGGTAAACCCCAGCCGGGTGCCGTGTCTCTTAGCCACTGGGCGGAAGTCCCCCGACCACTGGGTCACTCTGGGGGCCCCCCTGTCCCTCCGAGTCGGGCCACTGGGCTGTTTACGACTTCGGATACAGGCGGTGTTTTGGGGACCTGGCTCGTCCCTTACGTAGGGGGTGACGACCTTCTACGAGAGCCGTCTTTTCCTGACCACTGGGTCGCTTTTATGGACCACTGGGTCCACCGTGGTAATCAGTCCTGAGTTGTAATAATGGGAGCTATTTTTTCATTGCCAGTTCCTCCCAACTCCCCTTTGGGCTGCCTTCTAGCAAATTTAGACACCCTTGAATTGGCTTGTTACCTAATACTTTAATACGCCTCTGTGATGTGGATTGACCCCAGTATTCCCTAGCTAACTCCTTCAAGTGGCCAGTTAATGGCATTTTGAATCCGGACATCTTTCGGAACCTAGCTCATTGCTGCATGCATTCGGAAAAATCGGGGAAGTCTCATTCCCTCTTCACTCTCGGCTTTCTGTCTGTCTTTTCCGTAGTTTTCTAGCTATGAAGTAGGAAACCCCAGTGCCCTCTTCCAGGGCCCTGGTGCCACGTGCAACCGCCATCTTATCCTCCATGTGCAGTCGACCCCCACCCTCTCTGTCCGCCATCTTGCCTTTTCTCTCCCTGCCATCCCCCACTGTTTGAAGGTCTCCATTTGCTCCCCACTGGGAAGCAAAGATTTCCTGTTTAGAACTTTTCTGTTTTAGCCCTTAGCCTAACTTGCTCTCCCAGTTTCTTTTGTCACATCCAAACACCCTAAGGGCCTACATTTCTGTAGCTTTCCCTCCCACCCCTTAGCTGAGAGGGGTGGAGTAAGAGATAAGTGATTTAGCCTTTCTTTAAAAAAAAAAAGGAAAAGAAAAAATGCAACTTGTTCTGTAACTTAATGTAATGTGAAGTAAATAGATGCTTACGTTTGTTTCTAGGTTCCAATAGATACTATTGCATCCATTGCAGATAGAGCTAAAGTTAAACAGTAAGCTACAGGTTCCAACTGAAAGCATCTTTAATTTGGGTTACTGAAAGCAAGATATAATTCTAAATAACTGGTAACTTTAAACTGATAACTTTAAAGCATTTTGAAACTTTAAACTTGTTTTTCAAAGGCTGTTACGAAAGCTGTTTTGTTTTATAATCTGTGTTAACTGATATGCATGTACATGTTTATGTGGCAAGCTATGTAGTCTATTTAATTAACATAGATGAAAGTGTTCATAGATGAAAATTGCTAAGTTAAATCTCTTCATTTTGTAAATAATTCCTTGAGATTAGGGCCACAGAGAAATCCTCCAACTTAGAATGCTTGAGGAATGACTGAGTATATTCCATTAGATCCTATACAGAAGAGAATAGGTGCTGTATAGATGCTAGATTCTTAACTACCCTGGACGTTAGGACAGAACTTTAGAAACTTACAAATGGGACCTGAACATACCCTGATATCCTCTTAAAGGGGTCACTATGGTCTTACCTTAAAGACCAGGAGGGGATCCCATGGCAGAGCAGGATGAGAGAGGTGTGTGCTCCTGGTTCCAGTGAGACCCCCGGAGGCCTCCCAAGTGCTCTTCGTTGCAGAAGCAATGGACACTTCGCCAGGAATCATCAGAAAGGACACCCAGGGCCGTGTCCCAACTACCAAGGAGGTCACTGGAGATGTGACTGCCCCTGAAGGCCAAGTACTTCAGGTCAGTCATTTCCCATTGGATCTCCCACATGGGACAGGAAGCAGCCCAGGAACCTGCACAGGCTCAAGGCCATCCACGGACTTTGGTGACACCACGGAACAGCACCCAAGAGCCCCGGGTGGTTCTCACAGTGGAAGGGAAAACTGTAAGTTTCCATCTGGACACTGCCTTCTCTATCCTAGCTAGCTTTGGCTTCTTCCCTCTCTTACAGTGACCATCAGGGTCTCTCAGGAGCCCCAAATTAGCTTAGGTGACAGAGTAATCTAGAAGCTCAGAAAAGAAGCCATTTCTAGGGAAAGGTTAGTTCACCTGTAACTGTTCAGCCTGCATCAATGACCAGGCTCCTGATAGACATGTTTGCCATCTCGCTCTTCAGTTTTACTAGACTTCACTGAGGTAGGATCCCTGAACTGTCATAAGGTAGACTTCATGTCCTCCTTATTTGCCGAGTTATTTTGGATTTCTCAGCTCATCTACTTAGGATTCTTATGTTCTTCAATCGCCAGTACATGCTTGTTAACCTGCAAGTTAGTAGATTGCTTGCCTCTGCCTTAAAGTGTATAAAGTTCTGTAAAATCGTGTTGGAATACTATAAACTGCTGGGTTATTGTAAACGAAATAGTTTAAATCTTGTGCCATCTACAATGTGACCAGTAGATCTTGTACCAGAATGTTTTAAGTGCTGTGCTTTATGTTCTAGGCTAGATGTCTTCTTGAAACTCTTAGGGCTTACAACAATTGGTAAAGTATAATTGTTTAGAAAAATCGAACACTTGCCCATTCCCTAGCTAGATGCAAAACTACTATAGCATTTCCAAGTGGAAGTTGGCTTGCATTTACCTGTATGTTCTGATGCCACA